CCAATGTGTCATGTTCATATAAAGTATTACATTAGGTGTTAATAAGAAACAAAGAAAACAAACAATTCAATCCCTGTTTTTCTAATTAAATTGGTGCAAGGAACTGAATGTTTATGTCTACCCCCACCAAATTTACACGTTGAAATTCAAACCTCTAAGGTGATGATGTTAAAAGGTGGGGCCTTTGGAAGGTAATTAGGTCATAAGGGTGGAACTCTCATGAATGGGATTAGTGTCCTTATAAAAGAGACCACAGAAAGATTCCTTACCCTTTCCACAATGTGAAGGCACAGCAAGGAGGTGCTGTCCAATCTCCAGGACTGTGAGAAATAAATTTCTGTGGTTTATAAACCCCCTAGCCTATAATATTTTGTTATAGCAGTCTGAAAAGACTAAGACATTTGAGTGCAGAAGACAATTGTAGGAAAATTGCAGTCAGGTCTATGATATTATAGGTGGAGCTATTCAGGGATGATGTCTTGATGGAAGTGAGCCTTGACCTAAATTTGAAGTATAAGATTATGGATAGTACCATAGGAAAGAGATAACAGAAAAATATGGAAAAATCATAGGAGAGGAGTTAACCTCAGCAACTGAAACAGTTTTCAGGTCTAAGTGGCATGAATAAAAAAAAAGATTATCATCTAAGTATTTATAGCATTATTTCTCACCAATGTCTGTTGTTCTGATCTATTAATTGAGAAATGAAGGTTTTGGCTAAACAGAGGGGAAGATATCTAACTTCAAAGCATCAAGGCTAGTTCTATCACTCAGTAGGGTAAATCATGCATGTTTCAAAGGCTTTAGAGAAAAGCCTGTTCCCGTTCCACACTGCTTTTCCTCCACACCCAACATGCTGATTCCTCACCATCCATCTCCCACCTTGAGTTGCTTTTACATAAGAAAATAGTTTTCAGACACTTGGTTTAGAAATCCCCGTTATAGTCTCAATAATAGGACGTAGCATGGGAATATGATTAGGGAAGAAGTGGCAATACAGTTGTGAACTAGGTAAGATTTATCATTGCATCTTTTCCATAATGTTTATTTTCCCTGTGCTTGAATTTCATCATGCCCAGTCCATCTTCATCCATTTTATTAAGCATCTACTAAGTGTGTGGCTCTAAGTTGGATTCTGAAAATACAAAGATACACGTTCTGCCCTCAAGTAACTCAAAAGATGGTGAATGCTTCAACATAGCTAGAAGCAGACCTGAGGGCAAGTCAACTTTCTTATGTAGAGAATGAGTATTCATCTCTCTAGAGTCATTCTAAATGCTTTATGATAAAAAGCAATTATTGTATCTACTATTTCTATCAGTAAATGACATTCTAATAGCACTTGACTATTCAGCTTATAGAAGTTTTTATCTGAGAGCCGGCCCTACAGAAATAACATATTTTCCATCAGTTTGGAAATAACTTTACTGTAATAAAATGCCAGGTATAACACATAGAGCTTTTCTTTTATCCTTGTATTTATATTTATTTCAGATACATTTCCTAGATTTCCCTTGACATTTATCTTGTATCTCTTCAACACTATTCTAGAGTACAAACAGACTTGACCAAGAAGGCAGCTATTTTTTCCTTTCAACTGATTGTATTTTGATAGAATTCTGAAGAGGTAAAGATTTTTAATAATACATTTGCTTTATTCTATGCTACCCGAGGTCTGATGCTAAAAGGTTTTCTTGATGTTTATTGCATGTGAGTTTGATTATATAAAATGAAAGAAAAAGGACAGGTGGCACTACATTAAGTTAGCTATGCAAATTGTTACACTTACATAAGAGGCTTACCAGACAACATGTCTAATTTGATGGTTTACCAGACATGTCTAATTTGATGACTTTTACCAGTGACCACCAACATTTTATTCCCCTATTTCTATGACAACCGAGTATCATGTTACTTTTTAGCTATCACATTAGAAGAGTGAACATCCTGTACAATAAAAATAGTATTTTAGCTCTGAATAATTTCTAACATGAAAAACACGCTCTATTATCACACAGGTGCCTGAGAAGTTGTAGGTGTATTCTAGTCCTTCAATTTTGGGGAAAGACAGTACTAGAGTGGTTTAAATTCAACAGTTCTTGGTCAAAGATTTACTGAAAAACTAAAATACAACTCTTTTTCTTGTTTTCTCTACAACTTGCACTTTCATTTCCTTTCCATGACAATCTCTCTCTGACGGTTCACCTGGTTCTTTCTGAACCATGGTTGACCTTTATTAGACCCCCAGAAGCAGGGATGGTAGATGCACACATTTACTGGACCTTTTCCTGCTCTCTGTGCTGGGATCAAGACCATTTTCAGTTGGGAAGTCAGACAATGTCATTATGTCCCACTGGAAGACTGAAGTCCCTCTTGGAAGGCAAATGGGAAGAAGTAATGGGGAGAAAGAAAAGAAGAACAAAAGGAGCATGAAAAGAAGATAAAATCAGAAAAGGCTGGGATGGAAAGACAAAGAATCAAGCGTGGTTCTTCTAATTCAGCAGGGAAAGGAAATATACTAGAAGTGCTGTCTTTCTGCAATCATATACGATTTACAAGATGAACAAACAAAATAACACAAAAAGGCAGTAGACCAGCATTCTCTAAAGTGCTTAGGCAACTAAGGTAATTACTTAGTTACTCTACCTTGAACAAAGAAATAATAAAAAATAAATAAATAACTGTCATTTATTCATAGTTCATCTGAGTGGGAAGGATCCAAAATAGCCTTTACCTCCAAATTGAATTATAATACTTCAGGTTTACAACAGAGATCCTAAAGCTGTGAGCATCAAAGTGACTTCTGAACCATCACAACATTTTAAAGAATTAATTTATGTGTAAATAAAATGCACTATTAAATAACTTTGGTGTCAAAGACATTATAGAATAACTTAATTCTTTAAGAAATATCTTTGTTCTAGTTCAAAATCAACCTACACTTGAAAGCCAATTTGGAATCTAAGGCAAGTATTACCCCAAGTATATTCCTTAAAAGAGTAGTCCCAGATACTTTGAAATAATTAGTAACACTTTCTTTTTCAGTCAGGTCTGCCTACACATCACATTGGAAACTGCTGCTGAGACAATTTGTGTGTAGTTCAAAACAGCTGGTACATTTTAGTTAAGAGAATATTACACTGATAAAACTGATATCTCTTTCCTTATCCTATGTATTCCGGGTAGATTAGCATTTCTACATGTAATTTGGTATCATTGATGTGAACACTTATTATCACTTAAAATAAATGTTCTAAAGGACTTAAGGTGTTTGTTTACTTCTTGTGTTTCATGATATTTAATTTTTTAAAAAAGTATATCTGTTTTATGTAAAACTGAGATGAAAGTGCTGCCCAAAACTGCCATAGTCTATCACATTTAGGCAAATTTTCAGAAGAAATGCAAGCCTTCAGGAAATACCTCTACCCAGTGTCAAATGGATGCTACCTGCTTTTTTAAATGCCTGCATTTACCTTGCTAATTCATACAACACATTTTAAGAGTGTGTAAAGCGTAAGACAGTTGAGACCCATGATGACATTTAACTTTTTAATTCAAAATATTTTTGCATTGCATTTTAAAATTGCACATATTGTGTTTGATTAAAATAAGATAGTTGTATTGCATTACACCAGGAGAAGCAGTTTAAGACCAGTTAATTCTCAACCTCTGACTTGTTTTTAAATTTTTTTTTTGGCTCAGAGAGACCTCATGGAACTTGAAAAAAAAAAGACTGAGCACATCTATTCTATTCTATGGTAGGCTTTGATGGGAAGGAAAAACCATATTGAGTTGATGAAGAGAATAATGAGAAATAACTAATCATTAAAGTTACTGGGGATAAATAAGCAAATAAATATGGTAATCTGTTTACACAGTATAGCTAAAATTCTTTCCAATGAGATTTTGAGAAGTGTTATACAGTGAAAAAAAAAATCTGGTGGTTAATAAGAGAAAAATTCTCTAAGGGAGGTTGGTAATGACCTGTTCTTATTTTTGTTTTTTTAAAAAGAGACTTCTGGAAAGAACAGAAATAAGATGGTGACTCAGACAAAATGGGGCCATGTTCTGTTGGCTTCTGGAAAAATTGTACACTGGTTGGTCAGTATGTGACTCTGGGAAACAGAGGTTAGTACTGAGTGTGGCCAAGAACTTTTGAGTAGTTCCACAGAGAGAGATAAAGAACCCAATGCTTTACCCAAGCATTTAGCAAAGGAAAGGCCTACCAGGGAAACCAAGAGCTTGAATGGAAAGAAATGCTCTCTGCATCTCTCTCAAGCTAGGAGAAAGGCACTCAGTAAGAAAGCAGGGGTGAGGAGAGTCGTCTGTTTAGTGTATCGTCAGTGAGTTATGTTAACATGTATTATGTGGTGTCAATTAATCTTACTAAAACCATACTAAGAGCAATTGCAGGATTTGATGGGTAAAACCACTGCTTGATTCAAGCAGAGAGGGGGTAGTTGACAAGTCTCACTTTGGACCTTTCTCAGCCATAAGAATTGACATGGAGTTTGCATAGATGGATTCTGGAAAGCAAGTAGTTGCCCAATAAACCATTCTTTTTTTTTTTTTTTTGAGTTGGAGTCTCACTCTGTCGCCCAGACTGCTCCTGGCCACCGCCACTCCCGACCACCACAGCCTCGACCTTGCTGGGCTCCGGTGATCCTTCCACCTCAGCCTTCCAAGTAGCCAGAATTACAGGCATGCGCTACCACGCCCGGCTGATTTTTTGATTTATTGTAGAGATAAGGTCTCGCTGCCCAGGCAGGTCTCGAACCCGCGGGCTCAGGCAATCCACTCACCTCAGCCTCCCAAAGGTGCGGGATTACAGGCTGAGCCACCAAGCCCGGCCAATAAACCATTCTTAACGTAAGTTTCATTTGGGGAGATGGAGACTAAAAGAGCACTATAATATGCACATTTTAAATACTAATTTTATTTTACTCTTTTTATTTCTCCTCTAGCAGAAGTCACGGAAAGGGACAACTCCCAGGACTTACATCTCTTCCAATCAGGTCCTCCTGGTTTTCTACAATTCCCCAAGGAGCGATCCCTATGGTACATATTTTCCCTCGAGACTTGGATGCATGATCCTTTAAGGCATCTCCAACATGACGAATGACACCTAAAAGCGAAGACAGAGACATCAATTTGGCCTTTTAAAGCAATGACTTGTTCACCATTCTAAAGGAAATTATGATAACTATTTCCCCCCAAATTAAATATATTTCTATACAAACTACATGTATTTACAATCACACTACTAAAACATTTGCCTAACTGGATAAACTGCATTGTATTTCTTTCTTTCTTTTTTTTTTTTTTGAGTTGGAGTCTCACTCTGTCGCCCAGACTGGAGTGCAGCGGCCGCTCCCGGTCACCGCAGCCTCGACCTGCTGGGCTCCGGCGATCCTTCCGCCTCAGCCTTCCGAGTAGCCGGAACTGCAGGCATGTGCTACCACGCCCAGCTGATTTTTTGATTTATTGAAGAGATGAGGTCTCGCTGCCCAGGCGGGTCTCGAACCCGTGGGCTCAGGCAGTCCACTCACCTCAGCCTCCCAAAGGCACGGGATTACAGGCTGAGCCACCGAGCCCGGCTGCATTGTATTTCTTATTTTACTTATTTATTTATTTATATATGGTCTCACTCTGTCACCCACGCTGGAGTGCAATGATGCTATCCTGACTCATAGCAGCCTTAACCTCCTGGCCTCAAATGATCCTCCTGTCTCAGCCTCCTGAGCATTTGGGAGTACAGGTGTATGCCACCATGTCTGGTTAGTTTTTTCATTTTTTGGTGAAGGGCTCACTATGTTGCCCAGGTTGGTGGTTTCAGACTCCTGGGCAAGCAATCCTCCCACCTTAGCCTCCCAAAGTGCTGGGATTACAGGAGTGAGCAGCAGTACCTGGTCCTTATTCTAATTTATATAAAAACATAAAAAGTATCCAATGCCTAGAAAAAGAATAAATACATTTTTTAACTCAGAGAATCTTTTTCTTACAATGATTTGTCAGTAAGACTGAGAATCAGCACCTTGATTGTATCATATAACATGTACTATAGATAATATTACATTAAATTTAAAACACAGTTTGTGTATGAGTTAGTATCATTTAAATAGATTAGGTACAGATTTTGTTAACTTTAATTTCATCTTCCTGTTATGGACACATAATGTAAAGAACCTACTCATAAGGAAAATGGTTTATTCTGTGGAAATTTTATATTAAAAAGATAGATGTACCTTTTAAGCTTCATCATTGTGATTGTGACCCTCTCCTGTCAAAATGGCCTTCCCAATAATAGTTAAAAGTTAGAAAAATTTAGCTTACATGATGGTAAGCAACATACCTCTTATCTTTTTAGAAACCACTTAAACAAGAAACAATTTCTAATTTTTAACCTCTCTCTCAAATGATCATTTTAACAGAAAACTCATAAAATATATCCTATATGAAAAGATGTTTCCCTTATAAAAAGTCCACCCATATCTCAAGGAAAGATTGATTCTTAATGCCATCTCCTATATAAATGTTGAGTTGGATTTGATTTCTTCTCCAATTGAGGATATTATAACTTGCATATTTTGAATAGCTCAGCATGTATATTGAAATATCTAAACACACAAAAGACACTGGCAATTTGATCGTGGGAAAGGATGTTTATATTTAAATAATGAAATTCTGAAATATTAATAAGATCAAACAGAAAGAACCACTTTAAAAAAAAGTCAAATAACAAAATGGTATAAATGACCACTAATCCATACTGAACTATGCCGTGAGTGTTGGAAAGTATATTAATTTCACCTATTGGTTTATCTGTGAATCTTCTAAGTGTGAGTACTGGTCAAAAACAGAAACAAAAATAAAATTAAACAAAAAACAAAAAGCATAACATAACAAAACTGATGCACACACATATTAAGGCTGACAGTAAAGTTGTGAATATTAATGTTAAATTGTTTCCTGCTGATAAGCAAAATTCCCTTCAGGGCCAGCCTTGGACAAGAAGTTTAGCTATCTGGTATGCCCCTCTGTCTGCACAATTCTATCATTACCTCTTACCTAACTTCAGCATCCATCATTGGATGCTTACTTTGGGTATTGGATTGAACACAAATACCGAGTGAGGTAGAGATGATTCTTTGCTTTACAGTATTTAAGCCATAAAATTCTTCTTTTAATATTGAATGCGTTTCATAAAAACAGGAAAACAATTAACAATACTCCAAAATAGAAGATGGGTGAGCCGGGATCGGTGGCTCAGCCTGTAATCCCGCACTTTGGGAGGCTGAGGTAAGTGGATTGTCTGAGCCCTCGGGTTCGAGACCCGCCTGGGCAACTTGGCGAGACCTCATCTCTATAATAAATCAAAAAATTAGCCGGGTGTGGTAGCATGTGCCTATAGTTCTAGCTACTTGGAAGGATCGCCGGAGCCCAGCAGGTCAAGGCTGCAGTGGCTGGGAGTGTGCCACTGCACTCCAGTCTGGACGGCAGAGTGAGACTCCAACTCAAAAAAAAAAAAAAAAAAGAAGATGGGTAAGAATTTGGTATCTACATACCAGGAAAGCAAAAGACAATAATCATGTACAAGTAGTGCCCACTTAGTTGAGAATGAAACACGGAGCCCCCAAAATGAACAGTTTTTGAAAGAGAATTGCTCCGTGGATATTTTATTACTGTAGGATAAATGACAAAGAGCTAAACAGGTCATTTTAAGATCAGTTCAGTGTATAGACTGAGTCAGGATTTCACATAACAATGCTGAGCATGAGTAGTCTGGAGAATTCACACAGAAATGTGCCCATGTAGTTGAGTCCTGAATGTTCACAAATTCTTGGTATTTAGGAGACTTCTCAGTGCAGGTCTTACTCAAACATCATCTACACTACAAACACAATGACCAACATTAAGATGACATGTTAATTAAAACCAGTTGGTCCAAAGTTATGTTTAGAATATTCCACTAAGTCCAAATGCGTCCTCATTTACAGACTTGGAGCCAAGTAATAAGTTTGCAATAACTTACTGCAGTGCTCCTTCTGTACTTCCAATTGTCACCTTGGACTCAGGCAGGGAAAATATGGCAAAAACCTTTACAGGAATCCATTCCATTATCTGCTGCACATGAATAATGAACTGCAGATAAGCACTTAACCGTAAGTGGGCTTGCAAGAATTGATTTGACAGTATGCCAGTATCACTTGGCAGGTAGGAAGAACTCTTTGGAATTCAGAGTGAGGTATGTCTTCTACTGGTGCGAGTTGATTTAATAAAATATTTTAAATAATAAACACAGAATGCCCAAACTTTGCCATAACAGTTTATGTCTCAGATGGAAACAGAATTTTATGAAAATTAAAGGTTTTTGGCACCAAACTTTAAATTGCATAAAGAATAGAGGCAGAGCTTCCAATTTAAAGCAAAAGTCATTTCTTAAAGAGTTATTGGAAATTCCTGTGGCAACTTGAACTATTAAAAATGTCCTGTGAAATTTCATTAGTCATGTTTACAAATTCTGTATAGTCAACTATTAAACATCCCAGTGTAAGTGATTCTTGGTTAAAGAATAACTAAAGTTATCATTTAGGTTAAGAATGGAGAGATAACCAGTGAGTATGGACACACATGGTAGGGTTTTAGGTGGGGAAATAAAAATATAACTAACTTTAGCAGAACATTATTTTATGGACAACATTCTCAGGCCCTTATGTTGCCTTTCTCCCATTTTCAATTACCTGTGTTAACCCCTCCAGTGAATATCCATGCTCCAGTAGTCATGGCTGCTTTGATGAGCCCTTTCCCAAAGACTTGCTTGAGTTTTGGCTGGAGTTCAAAGTTCTGCAGGCCCCCATGGACAGAGATGAGAAGCTTAGGAAGCTCCAATTGCCATTCCTTGGTCATCAGGTGTAGGAGGAGATCAGGTTTTGTATCGAAAGATACACGCACATACTAGAAAAACAAAGACCAACAATGAGGGAGAAAGGCAAGGCTGTCTGAGGTTGCTTCTCTTTACTGATTACAATTATATGTGCAGTTACTTGATGAAAATGTCTCGTATAAAGCCCAGTTTTTTTTTTAAAAAGGGTGATCATTTGCTTTACTCAAAGAGTCTTCATTAGACAAAGGCATTCACCATTTTGAAAGGTTTTTTTTTTTTTTTTTTTTG